AAATTAAAAATGTCCATTTTGACGAAATGGTAGTTCTTGATGGTCTCACCCATAAAGTGCCATATCTGGGTGTGATCTCATACATTGATTGCTTATTGTTGACATTGCTTGCAATGGAGTGGCTTAACCGTGAATGGGTGGGATAGGCAAGTCCTGGAGAGTGAATTGATCAAAAATTGGGGGTGTATCAGTCCTAGAATAAGGGCCTTGTCCTCACAAGTGATGAGCCCCTCTTGGGCAGAAAGGAAACGGAAGGAGATTTGCATATGAGGATTCTATTACTACTACTTCTCAGAGTTTTTTCGCTTTCCGCAATTCTTCTCAAGTTCTCAGTTCTTCTCAGTTCTTCTCAGTTTTTCTCGGTTCTTCCCAACTTTTTTCTCAGTTTTTCTCAGGTTTGCCCAGGTTTTCTCAGGTTCCCAGATGGCAAGAAAGGAAGGGTGGGAAGAGAGAGAACTTGGGTTGGGGGCTTTCTGACGAATTCATACCATTTTTTCAGACCTTTTTCAATCAAATTTCAGGCTCTTTTCAAACATGTCAGATATCTGAGACATTCTCAAGGGATAGTGCGGTAGTTTGATCTGGAAGGCGGGCTGGGAACAAACAGGGACCACTGGTGCCCCCCAGTGGCCCTTCTGGGCCCCAGCCCAAGATCTTGGCTTGGATAGAACAAAATAGTTAACAATAGACCTGGTTTCCAGCACGCTATCTCATGACTCCTGCTTGTTTTTCCAAAATGTAAGGGACGCTGGACCCGGTTTCCAGCAGGTGCTGCTCCCTACCAATGGATGGAGCCCACCTAGAATGCTAGAGGTGACTGCTATTACCAACACCGCTAGCATTACCCGGGGTTAAAAAAAAAACAAAAAAAAAAACCGTCTTTTGTGGACTCTTGATTGTATGATATTTTGGCTTTGTGTTCTCTGCATCTACGTCGAGGTTTCCAATGGTACGCCGACGGTTAGGTATGCCATCTCCAAGTGCAAACGCGATGGCTGCAATAGGCGAGGTAGGTAGCATCGACTGT